CGTTTGTTCAAAAACGAAATGAAATAATCGAAAAGGAATGTATTACCGAGATTTGAACTCGGATCGCAGAATTCAGGTTGCTAACATTTACATCATCAAATCTCACTTCCCCATGCCGTGAATCGCACCGGTGCGGCCAGATAAAACAAAAGGAATCCTAACAACTATGCCACATGGGAGTTGCACCAACTTGAATACTAAATATTTTTTCTCCTTAACCACTGTTTCCTAAAACTCCGATGAAAAAAAGGTTCCACCGACATTTGAACTCGCATTTCTTGACTCAGAGTGCTAACTATTACACAATGGAGCCTCGCTGTCAAATTTCGACAATCGAACCGGGGCCGCTTGGTTGAAATTCAGGAATCCTAACCACTAGACCACATGGGAGTTGCAAAGGTTTGATTTCTAAATATTTTATCTCTTTAATAAGTTTTTCTTAAAATCAAATAGAAATAATCGAAAAGAAAGGTTCCACCGAGATTTGAACTCGGATCGCTGGATTCAGAGCCCAGAGTGCTAACCAATACACCAGGGAACCTCGCTTTCCCATGCCGGGAATCGAACCCGGGCCGCAGGTGAGAAGCCAGCAATCCTAACCACTGAGCCACATGGGAGTTGCAAGGTTTTAAATATTTTATCTCTTTAATAAGTTTTCTTAAAATCAAATAGAAATAATCAGAAAAGGTTCCACAAATAACGTCAGTCGCTGGCTTGGAGAGTCCAGAGTGCTACCATTGACCATGGAACCTCGCTTTCCCTTGCCGGGAATCGAACCCGTACCGCCTGGGTGAAAGCCAGGAATCCCAACCACTATCCTACACTTGGAGGTTGCAGTAGTTGATTTCTAAATATTTTCGTCTCTGTTAAAGTTTTTCTTAAATCAAATAGAAAATAATCAAGCAAAGGGTTCCACCGATATCTGGACTCCAGTCTGAGTGAGTCCAAAGACAATCCAGGAAGCCCATGAACCTCGCTTTCCATGCCGGGGAATCGAACCCCACCGTCTGGTGTAGCAGAGAAGCCAGAATCCTCTAACCACACGCCAGATTTGCAAAGGTTGATTTCTAATATTTACCTCTCTTTATTGATTTTTGCCAAATCAAATAGAAATAATCGAAATGAAAAC